AGCATCCAAAAGACCGGAAGTGGATCCGGCCGGAAATCATGATGTCCCGCCCAGTGCCTTGTGGATGCTGTAGTTCTAGAACAAGCCACACATTTCTCTTTGTGGCAACTGCCACCCAAGGGAAGTGACCTAGACCAGCGGTTCACAACCTGTGGGTCATGACCCCTTTCTCAAAGGGGTTGCATATCATATATACCTTATATGATATATTTTCATTATGATTCATAACAGTAGCAAAATTACAGTTAGGAAGTAGCAATGAAATAATTACACGGTTGGGGGGTCACACAACATGAAGAACTGTATTAAAGGGTCACAGCATTGAGAAGGTTGAGAACCACTGTCGTAGACTCTGGAAATGCCTGGTGTCCGTGGAGATCAGAAGAGGGCATCATCCAATAGTGAAAAGACAGCCACTACCCAAGTTAGAATAAAAACCACCCGCACTTCCTCTCAGTGATCAAGAGTAAAGTGTGCTTTGTTCAGACAGCTCAGTTGGAATGACGGTCTCTTTCTTTGTAAACCTGAACTTATCTCTAACAAACTCCCTAACCTGGGTGCAGTGTGAGATGGGTAGGTCGGGAACAGTAAAGAAACTGCAAAGGAATGAAGGGAGGGAGGGAGGGAAGGAGGGAGGAAGGGAGGGGGGAGGGAGGAAGGAAAGAAGGAAGGAAGGAAATTGCCAGCATGACTGCCATGATGACTCCATAGTGTGGTTAAGGGGAAATTTTATTGGGTTTTGGAGTTTTTTGTTTGTTGGGCTTTGGAATTTTTTATTTGTTTGTTTTGCTTTGTGCTCTGAGACATGGTTTCTTTGTATAGTCCTGACTGTCCTGGAACTCTGATCCTCCTGCCTCTGCCTCCCGAGTGCTGGGATTAAAAGTGTGCAATATCACCACCCCACAAGGGGAAGGCTTTTTTTACTGTGAGTAAGAGAGACAAAATTGGGCTGGAAAGATGGCTCACTGGTTAAGAGCACTTGTTGTTCTTCAAGTGGACCTGTGTTCAATTCCCAGCAGCAACATGGTGACTACAATTGCCTGTAATTCTAGTTCCAGGATCTGGACTGCAGGTACTGCATGCTCATGCTAAGTGACACAGACACACATGCATGCAGGTAAAACACCCAGACACATAAGACAGACAGACAGACAAGAGAAAATATCCAGGGGCATCCAGAAGATTCCAGAATACATGGAGAAAGAAGTAGACCAAAACTAGCCAGCAGACTGGACATGGTCAGGGTCATCTGTGAGAGGAGGTAGAGTAACAGGTGACAGAGACTAGTGAGTGTAGCCAGGGTATAAGGATGGGTAGATGGAGGAAAGGAAGCTGAGAGCTGGAGGGAGCTTAGGTTGGGGGAGAAGGTAAGAAGGGCTAGCATGGACTTTAAAATGTACAACAGGTACTTGTGATACTATACTCAGGAAGCTTGGCAGACAGCATGGGCTGATAGGCACGACAGGTTGCCATATGTCTCTTTGCCAGAAGTAGAGAAATGATTCCTTTTGGCAGATGTGAACCAGTTTCACAAATTCCAGAGGAATACTGGCTGCTGGCTATTTTCTGTCTTTCATTCTCTCTCTCTCTCTCTCTCTCTCTCTCTCTCTCTCTCTCTCTCTCTCAATCTCAATGTTGAGGCATGTATGAAATGTGCACCTCCATGCTTACTGAATATAACAGTACTACAGCTTGGGTTCTCGGGTTGTTTTGGCATTGGCCTTTGGGAGCTGTTTCAGTTAATGTCCCGAAAGTATGCTGTCACTGTGTAATGCTGTTGTTTCATTTTGTTTTTTGAAACCGGGTCTTACTATGTATCTTTGGATGGTCCAGAACATGCTATTTGGACTATTCTAGCCTTGAACTCACAGAGCCTCTTGTCTGCCTCCTCAGTGTGGCTGGCATGCTGTTGTTTTTTGTTTTTTATGTAGATGGTGTTTTGCTTGCATGTATGCCTGCCTATCACATGTGTAAAGTATCTGAGGAAGCCAGAGAAGGTATAGGAATCCTGTGGGACTGGAGTTACAAATGTTTGTGAGTTTCCATATGGGTGCTGGGAATTGAACCCTGGTCCTCTAGAAGAGCAGCCAGTGCACTCAGTGGCTGAGTCCTGTTTTAAAACCACTTCCTTACTTTCTGTCCTGAAAGATGCTCTGGCCAGTCTCTTCTTGCCCCAGTCTCCAATCAATCATTTCTCCAAAGAACCCAGTTCTTCCCTACCCCACCTCAGCACCAGGAATTAAACTTAGTAAAGGTTAGGCCAATACTCCACCACTGACCTGTGTCCCCAGCCCCTAGTTCCTTATCTGTAGAGTGGGTTCTAGGATCTGGGTTTTTAAGGTAACAGTCAATATTTTTATGCTCTTTCAGCTGACAACACAGGAAAAAAAAATCATGTATACTAAACTTTTTAACAATTGGTAGCACACACATATTCGGTGTCTGTATTAACTAAACATGAGTTAAGGAAGATGACTCTAGCTTTAATCATTACTGTAAATGATTTTAGCCCTCCTCCTTTACTTCTAGATTCTCACTTCAACAATGAGGAGCCTAGTGTCTACCATCTGGCAATGTATCAAAACTAGTGACACAGGCCTGTAATTGTAACATTTAGGAGCCTGAGGCAAGGCTGGGCTACATAGTAAGCCTTATCTCCATCTCAAACCAGCAGAACAATGCAGGGTAGAGCTGCAGGCCTTTAACCCTTGGGAAAGTAGAAGCTGGTGGACCTCTGTGCATTTGATGTTAGCCAGAGTTACACAGTAAGACCCTGTCTCAAAACAAAAATAAGGGTGAGGGGGCTAGAGAGATGCTCAGTAGTTAAGAGCATTTGCTGCTCTTGCAGACGACCCAGGTTAGATTCCCAGAAGCCATATTTTGGGTCAAAACCATCTGTACAGTTCCAGGGAAAAATCTGACACCCTCTTCTGGCCTCCACAGCACTCCACATGGTGAACAGATACAGACAAAAACACGCACACACATAAAATAATAAAAAATTTAAAATAACTATTAAGAAAACAAAACACAATAAATGTCAGATACAGGGTCTGGAGAGATGGCTTAGAGGTAAAGAAGATTGGCTGCTTTTCCACGGAAGCCAGGCTTGATTCCCAGCACCCACATGATGGCTCACAACCATCTGTTAATTCCAGTCCTGGGAGATCCAATACTCTTCCGGTCTCAGTGGATACTGTACACCCGAACACAGGCAGCACATAGACAAAATACCCCCACACAAATAAAATGGGAAAAACAAAGCAAAACAAAGAAACAGGCCAACCCCGGGTGGTATAGAGCTATACTCTAAGCTCTTAGTAGGTGCAGAGCTATGGGCAGAGGGATGAAGACTTCAAGCTACACAGCGAGTTTACCCTGGACTACATGAGAACCGACCACAAAGTTTATAGTACATCCATAGGAACCGAGGAACCAGTTATTTTTTAAATGTGTTACTCGTGTGTGTGTGTGTGTGTGTGTGTGTGTGTGCTCCTCCACCTGTTCGTGTGGAGGTCAGCAGACATGGCCAGGGAGTCAATTCTCTTCCTCCACTGTGGGATCTAGGACTGTCTCAGGTGGTCAGTCAGGCAGTTCTGTCTGCTGATCCTTCTGCCCACCCCGAGAAGCCATTTCTGTGCACCACAGTGCAGTGTCTAGCTTCTTTGGCGTTGAATCTTAGATTCTACATTTCACAGGTCACCATCAGTGAGTGTATAAAAGTAGGGACTCCCTATCCTTTAAATATCCTCTATTGGTACCCCCCCCTCGGCCCGAGACAGGGTTCTCTGTGGCTTTGGAGCCTGTCCTGGAACTAGCTCTTGTAGTCCACCAGGCTGGTCTCAAACTCACAAAGATTCTCCTGCCTATGCCTCCAGAGTACTGGGATTAAATGCATATACCACAGGCCTGGCCTCTGGTCATTCTTTTTATATATATATGCTGTCTTCGCCTCTTTTGTTTGATCTTTGAATGCATTAAGTTTCACTGTATAGTTGTGGACCCATTATTACCTTGTTTTGTGACAGTGTCTCTGCCTAGGCCTAGCTGACCTGGAACTTACATGTAAATTAGGCTGGCTATGAACTTTGCAGATATCTGCCTGTCTCTGCCTCCTGAGTTCTGGGCTTGAAGGCAGGTGCCACTGTGTTGGCATTTATCTTATTTTAATATCATGGAGAACAGCATTATCATCCTAAAACAAAAATCTTTATTTTTGGTTTGAGACAGGGTCTTACTAGATAACAAGCAGGTCTTGACTCTTTTTTTTGAGACAGAGTTTCTTTGTATCTATGGTTGTGTTGGAACTCCCGCTGTAGACCAGGCTGGCCTCGAACTCAGAGATCCACCTGGCTCTGCCTCCTGAGTGCTGGGATTAAAGGCCTACGCCACCACCACCCAGCTGTTATTTTTAAAGATGTTTGTTTTGCCTGCATGTATGTCTGGGTACCATGTGCATACCTGCTGCTTGCATAGGCCAGAATAGGCTGGTGCCAGACCCCCTGAACTAGAGCTACAGATGGTTGTTGAAGTTTCTATACCCTGATACGCCTCTCTGCAGATGTAGCAATTCAAATCGTACCAGATCAAAATGAATTAGAAAATTCACAGGGCTAATCCATACAACACTCCCGGATGGCCTTCCAGTTCTTTGAGGGAGGGGTCATCATTCTCCTTGATTTTTTTTTTCTTTTTTCCTTTTATCCAGCATTGGAATTTGCACTGTGAACTTGTTTGAAGCATAGTCTCTCATTCTCCCATTCATGGCTCATTTTTTATATCACCAGTCTCTACTCATAGCTTCATTACACAAAAGATAAGGCAAGTGTAGAGGCTCGGCCTACAATCCCATCACTGGAACACAGAGGCAGAGGGCTGCTGCACGTTTCAGGCCAGCTCGGGCTACAGTGACACCTTCTCAGAACACCAAAACTCAAGACAAACAATGACCTTGTCTTCCACCCAAACCGTCCCGCAGAAAACAAACACCAACATCAATGTACTCTCACAACAAAAATCATTTATTTACAAAGGCCAGGGTGGGTGTTGGGAGTAAGGGAGGAAAAGGGCAGGCATGTCTGAATTGCTTGGGACCCTTCCCCAACTGGAACAGGATTCCTCAATGTCCTACTCAGGGATCCTCCAAGTAGCTGGACCATATAGCAGAGAGAAATGTGTTGGGAGCTTCTCCCTCAGTACCCCAGCTGAGCTAAACCTAATTTCTTATTAAAGGCATCACTGTTCCCACCCCTTCTTCAAATAGAACTTTCTTGGCTAGAGGGAACCAGCAAGGAATTGAAAGGAAGGAGCTCTGGAAGAGAAAACTCAATATTTTTTCCACTGCAAGAGTAATGATGGTAAGGGTATCAGTTACAGCCATTATCTTTAGAATTACCCAATATGCTTTTTGGTTACCCAACACCCAGAGACCCAAGCAACCCAGCTATCCCAATGCTATATTCCTCCACTAGGTTGGCCCTTGTACCTACTCTTTTCTGTTGACAAAGTTGTAAACCAGAAACCAACAAAGAACACACACCTCCCCAACTTTCATGATACTCATATATGCACAACTTCTCCATATTGCCGAGAAAGATCCAACCCCATCATATCTCCTGGAGAGTGGGGCTCAAAAGTACCAGAGCTTGAAGATATAGGCAGGTCCTGGGTCATTGGAACATGTGTGTAATGGAGACAATGGACCAACCGGATTCCTTGTAGGGGACACTGCTCAGCTTTGTAGAGCTCCTTTCTTCAATTCAAACTCCATCAGTCTCTCTCTTCTGTCAGGCCTGAGCCTGGGTTCTCCAACCTGAAATCTACTGGTGCTAGATCCCAACTGTCAATTCCGACTTGCAAGCATTCAGCTGAGGCCATCTTCCCCCAGTCCCTGCTTCCAGGGTCTCTCAGCTCTCGCTCTCCAGCACCAGCCTCTGCTGGTCTTGTCTGTCCTTAGTAACCCTGCCCAGAGCACTGGCTCATTGCTCCATTTGGGCAAGAGGACAGGTGTCTTTCTCCCTGACTCAGAGTCCCAAAGAAGCCCATGAGAAAATGCTGGATGGATGTGCAGAATAGGGGCAGAGAAAGAAAACTACAGCATTTCATCAGTTCCTCTCCACAGAGTGAAATTCAAACACTGGTTGGGTTGAGGTCAGGGAGGGAAAGGAGAGAGTAAAAGTAAATGTAAGGCAAGCTAATCCCTAGTGGTACTGATGGAAGACTTCCAGGACGCCAGACGGGGTCCTCCTCTCTCAGACCCTGGGAGAAGACTGAACACTGCCAGAGTACTTGTGGGCAAGGAGGCGGGGCCAACTGACAACACAACTGTGCAAACTAAATAGCTCTGCTCGGAGGACCAGGAGAGATTTCATTAGACAGCAACTGAATTAAAATCCTTGGACAGAGCTACGGGGTTGGGCCAATGCCTCTAGTGTCACCCTGCTGTTTGTAGAGGTCAAAGAAGACAGGCTACAGAAGGTAGGGCTTGACAGAGGAGCCAAAGGCTGGCGCTGAGAGGTGGGGAAGGCAGGAGGCATGGGCCAAGGGATCAGGAGAGCTGGGACCCCAGGAGTCTCTCAATAGCCGCGTTGATGTCCCCTCCTGTGGCAATCAGGGCCTGTAGGTTGGCTTCACGGTTGACAAAGCCCATGGAGTTCAGTTGCTCCAGCTGTTGCTGAAATCTGACTTCTGGCATCGGCACCTGGAGGAGGCAGGCAAGTGGGCATGGACCCATTCTAGGGCTAGCCCCTCTCTTCCTTCCTTTCTTTTTGAGAATGCCTTGCTATGTAGTATGTAGCCCAGGCTGGCCTAGAACTGCTGGGATTGCAGGCATGTAACACCATGCCTGTCTCCTAGAGGGACAGTTTGAATTTGAGTGTTTACATAATACCAGTAGGTCCCTAACACCTCCATGGTCAAGGATGGTCCTTGTATCCCCTTGTCCCCCACTCCCACACCAAGGCTTTGTGCTTAGCTGAGGAAAAGTGAGATGCAAATGAAGGTCAGGGAACCTAGTTCCCAAGTTAGTAAATAACGATACTTTTGTTAAACTTCCTAAGTCCCTGGTAGGCCTGGTCAGTTTGTTCCTACATGCTCTCCAGATGTTAATAGATACTTCAAAAGACTGATGCTGGGACAGAGAAGTGGCTCAGTGATTTTCTTCCCAAGGACCTGACTTTGATTCCTGGCACCTACATGGTGGCTCACAACTGTCTGTAACTCTAGTTTCCAGGGACCTGTTTTGCTATGGGATATTTGTGAACTGTGTGAAGATGTATTGCTACGATTGGTGTAATAAAAAGCTGAACGACGAATAGGTAGGCAGGAAGTACAGGTAGGACTTATGGGCAGAGAGAGAGAGACCTCTGGGAAGAGGAAAGGCAGAGTTGTGAGCCAGACACAGAGAGGAAACAGGAGGTACAAGACAAAAGAGAGATAATGCCACGTGGCAGAACATAGACTGATATAAATGGGTTAACTTAAGTTATAAGAGCTAGTTGGGACAATTTTCCTGTTGTTTTATTTTTTGAGATAGGGTTTCTCTGTGTAGCTTTGGAGCCTGTCCTAGAACTCACTCTGTAGACCAGGCAGGCCTGGAACTCACGGAGACCCGCCTGCCCCTGCCTCCTGATGCTTGGATTAAAGGTGTGCACTACTATCTCCTGCCTGGATGGGACAATTCTAAGCTAAAGGCTAATGTTTCATAATTAAAACAAATCTCCGTGTTGTTATTTGTGAGTTGGCAGCCCCCCAAAAAAGTCTGACTACAGTGTTTTCCCATGGGATGTTTGGAAAGCTAAGTCTTGATCAAGATCCCGCAAGAGGAAAGCTGTGTGGAATATTTGTTTACACTGTTAAGATATGTCTCCGCCTAAGGAGTCTTCTGATTGGCTTAATAAAGAGCTAAATGGCTAATAGGTAGGCAGGAGAGAATAGACAGGACTTCCAGGTAGAGAGAGAATCGGGAAGGAGGAATCTAGGCACCTGATTTCACCATCAGACTTGGAGCAAGTTGGATGTGCCAAAATAAGAAAGGTTACCCAAGCCACGTGGGTGAGTTTGAGCATATAAGAGCTAGTTGGGAAAAAGACTAAGCTAAGGCCAAGCTTTCATAATAAGTCTTCAGGTCATTATTTTTGGGCCAGAGGTCCAAAGACAGTCTGACAAGAAAGCTTGAATACAGAAGGCCGGTGTTTACTGTCCACCTGCCTAGATATCCTTCCCTAGGACCACATAACAAGCCCTATAGTGTCAGAGCCCTTCTCAGTGTCATGCTGACATTTCTCAGTCACCAAGTTTGAAGTGGGTGTGCCTTGGAGATCAAGCTGACCCAGCCCTATTAGTGTTTACACAAATGTTTGCAGAACAGTGTTTCCAGAAGAGGCACAAAGGTCACACTCCCAAGTCATCTCTGCGCCTGTGCCTACCTAAGACCCTGCCCTTGACTTTAATCATCTGCCGGCTAGGTAAGTGAGCAGCCAGTTGACCTCTTTGCCCTCAGTTTTCCCCATCTGTAACACACTGATGCTGCGACAATCTCCTGAGGCAGTTGGAAAGCAGGGTAAATGACTCTCCTAGACAGAGCATTCAGCATGGTACCAAGCATGTACTGAGTGGCAGATTAGGCCCTGAAGCCAGCCTGGTCTGGCTTCCTGCAAAGCCTGTACTGCTGCCTCTACTCCACTCCTGTCCTTGATGCTGCTCAGGATGGATGGGTGGCTGCCCTGTATACCTGTGAGTTTCCACCTCCAGCCAAAAACTGGATCATCTGCTGCACCAGTTGCTGCTGGACACTGGAACCCGCTGCAGGAGGAGACGTAGCTGGTACACCGGGGGAGGAGGTGGGGGCCTCAGCTGCAGAACCAGAGTTGCTGCTTGCCAGGGGTCCAGGGGTCCGGGATGTCCCAAAGGAGCCAAGGCTGGAGGCAGGAAAAGAACAAGAGTTAGGAGACAGCAGTCCAGAACAGGATGGGAAATGGACATGGAGGAACAAGCTTGTAACCTCAGCCCTGGGGGGCTGAGATAAGAGGACCACAAGCTTGCAGCTATCCTGGGCTACCAAAGGGAGACTTAGTCTGAAAGGAATAGAAAAGAATGGAAATGTGAGATCCAGAAGAGAAAGCCTTCAGAACAAAACAGGAAAACGGATCCAGGAACAATGGTGCAATGGTGTGTGTGTGTGTGTGCGCGCGTGCGTGTGTATAAGAGGTAGACAGACAGACAGACAGACATATAGACTGTACCTTAATCACTAGCTCTCCTTACCTGGGTACCAGCCCAGGGACTTCAGTCTGCAGGGTCTGCAGGCCCTGCTGGATCTGCAGCAAGGCCTGCATGGCCCGGGGGTTGGTGAGGATGGAGAGAGACTCTGGGTTCTGCATCTGTTGGGAAACAAGCAGAGAAGGGCAAAAGGAGACAGCAGGAAAGAGCAAGTAACCTTCAGCTCCGGCCTGTCTGTCACCTTAACTTCTAGCCATTGGGCTCCCAGGTCTCCCTGCTACAGTCCTCACTCACCTGCTGCAGAAACACAGGGAGCTGCAGGCGGAGCTGCTCCTGAAGCTGTGGATTCCCCGCAAACAGCGGCACGTTCACCATCATCTGCCAGAGTGAAGGGAGTAGGCGAGGCTTGAGTCATCCTACCCTAAGACATCCCCCACAGCTTCCGACGCTCCCCAGCACTCCTACCACTGCAGGAAATCTAACCAGCATTTCAAGATTCTCAGTACTCCAAAGGCCCATGCAAGGCAGTGAAAGAAATGGACCTGTGTGTTGAGCACAGAAGTGCCCAGGCCTGTCTGACCACCAATTGAGCTACTATTTCAAGTGGCTCCCATGTGCCACGCCATCCATCCCAGTGGGGAACTACTGTTGCTACCATTTGCAGAGGTGATCAGGTGTTGAGATAACTTGCTTAGCTCACAAGGCTGTTAAGTAGCAGAACTTGGAGTATGAACCTAGGCAGCCTGGCCCCAGAGTGCTTCAACTGTCACCGCAAACTGTTGCCGTGGGGAGCCCTTTCCCCAGCAGTACTTCCTTTCCCCAGTTTCATACCTGAGCAGCAAAGTCAGGGTTCTGGGCGAGCGTCTGCATCATGCTGCGCATGTAAGGGGCTGAGATCACATTCTGCATCAGCTGAGGGTTTTCGGAAATCTGCTGGAGGAGTGCCTGCATTTCTGGGCTGTTGAACATCCCTGCAACAAAGAGGGAGAAACAAGACAGGAAGAAAGGGGTCCAAATGGAAACCAGATACTTCATTTCATCTACATTATTTCAAGAGTGGTCAGGAAACAGAAGCTACAGTCAAAGGGGCATCTGAGCACATGACACGGGTCCAAGTGCTCCTGATTCTAAAGTTAGCTTACAATGTTTTATCCTGGACCTGTCCCATCAACTTGGCTAAGGGCTAACTGGCTAGAAACCAAGTCTGAGATATGTCTCTCTGGACTGCGCCTGCCCCAAGCTCAGACACTGTGAGCTGGAAAGAACTGAATGCCACGGAGAATGTCAGCTTTTAACCCTGCCTTAGCAGCAGTGGCCTGCTTCTCAAGCCAAATCCCACTCAGGTGCCGTAATGGTGCAGCAGAAGCCAGGGCAGGAGACATGGAGCTGGTTTCCATATGGTCCCTTCCTCCTTCCTCTCCTGGAGATGATGCAGATCCCCCAACACTTAGGAATAGTGTGTAAACCACAGGCCAAGAGCTATTCCTTCCTTAATAAATAAGGAAACAGAAGCACATTCCCAATTAAATCAGGGAATCTACCAAAAGAAATCCCAGAGCCATGTGTCCTGTCACAGCCCAGAGAATTCCCTGGGGCTTAGCAGTGTGTACCCTGCATTTGTGTACATGATAACCCTGTACATCTGTCTCTTCTGCCATCACATCCCCGTCCCTGGATATGTTCCAATTCTTCCACAACCCTTCCCTAATCTTCATCTCCCACTCTGCCCCATTTACACTGGATGGTATTGGAAAGTGTTCATGGAGCCTGGTTTACACATGAGCTTTACTTAGGTCACTACTAGGGACATGGGACACGACCACAGCAAACTTTCCTCTGAGGGGGCAGGGCCATCACTCCAGGCTGCTGTGACCTGTAGTTTTAATTCAGTCTCACCTGTTTTCAATACACTGAAGCAATGTGAACCCCATTCAGTCCTGGGGCAGAGGGACTGCCCAGGTGTGACCCCGCTAAGCTCCTTTCACCCTAAGACATACCTGACCCCAGGCTAGCCGCATTGATCCCAAAAGGGTTCGAGACTGTCGGGTGCACCTGGCTGGTCCCCGATCCTCCGGTGCCCTCCCCACCGGACCCGGGGGCCTGGGAGGTGGGGGGCGAGGGGCTCCAGGGGTTAGGGAGGGGCTCTCGATTCTCAGTCCGAAGAGGTTGGGAGGATGAGCTGTCGGAGTTCCCGGCCAGGGAAGAGAAGGGATTGTTGCCAAACTGGGAGGAGGGAAAGGTTTCGGGTTAAGGACTGAAACAAATCAGGGACAAGGGAGAGGCTCCCTCTCTGCTCACACCTGGGACCCGCCCTTCCCCCAGGGAATGCAGAGAAGCATCAGACATCCTCATCTGTTCTCTGTTCCCAAAGGACTAGTTCCACCCTCACCCGACCCTGCAGAGGGCACCTGACTGATGCCAGTGACTGACAGCCAAAGCCCTCAGGAAAGATGCCATTTCCCTGGCTTGTGCTCAGTGTGGGCCTCTGCTTTTGGCTCTGTGACCAGACTTTCGCATACATCTTTCCTGTGCTGTAATGAGGCATTTTTGTCTGATTAAGGGGCAGAGGCAATTCCGAATTCACCTTTTTACCCTCAGCACTAACACTAGTAGGTGCTCAGTAAGGAATGACTAGCTTTGCAGTTGCAGACCATCAGACCTGGATACTCCCCGCCATCTACTCCCAGCTCCCTCTTTCCTGCCACCTTGGCCTAATTCTAAGGTCCAGAACTCTCTTGCTAACTTTGTTGGTCTGCTGAGAGCATTTGAACCATCGAAGCAAGCCCCAGGGAGCAGAGCTCTGGCTAAGGATTCCCTTGAGGTTTTCTTCCTCTGTCCTTTGGGTGGGTCCCCCAGTCCCTCCCTCCCCCACGCTCCCAAAGACTACTCAGGACTGTACCTCATCAGATGGCACATTGCCCAAGGGTAACACCAAACCTCTTCCCTCCAGCAACTAGGACAGAGGCCTATCCAGGAATCTATATGCCCAGGGGGCCACGTGTGCCGAGCAGTTCTAGACCCTCCTTCACTTGCTCAGTTTTACAAAGGTTTACTTAAGATCTTGAAGCAGGAGGCAGACAACTAACCAATCATCTGAGCTGAGCTGAGGCTCCTTGGCTTCAACAGATACCTGTTAAATCACCAGCTGGCTTCACAAACCATGTGCCACTGCCATTTCAGACTTCTCATTCCTGCAATTTGCATAGCGTCTCCACCACTTGTCCTTAACTTGTTCTGTTCTTCCTGCTGCACCTGGAGACTAAATCTCTTTCTCTGATCCCACCATTTACTGAGCACCTACTATATGCCTTGACACATTTATTCTAATAGAGTATCCCTCTATACGCCAGTTCTCAAAAATGTGGCCCTATGACCCTTGTAAGTCTACAAATTCTTCATAAGTCCACAAATGTCAATTTGCTGTTTTTACTTACTCTATTATGAAAACTGTGTCCTAGGGGACATTCAGTGGAACAAATGCAGACCTGACAAGCCTACTGTCCCACAGGATCAGACATTAGAAGAAGTCTTCGGAAAAACCACACTTTCTGCTTTATCTCTAGAGTAATAGGATTACAGTACGAATGCATCTTTTTTGGAGGGTGGGTAGCGTGTCACCTGTAGGTCTAGCTGGCTTGGAAATTGTCTTATAGACCAGACTGGCTCAAAACTAGTGATCCCCCTGCCTCTGGCTCTTGAAAGCTGGGGTTACAGGTATATGCCCCATGCTCAGTTTATTCTCTCATTTTTCAGGGTATAATTGGGTCCCGAGACAAAGCGTGGGCGCGACTGCTATGATGGATGACCTCTACCGTGAAAGCAAGGGAGTAAGACACTTAAAGGGAGGCGTCACTTAAAATCACATTGCTAGAGTTGGACGGTGGTGCACGTGCTTTTTACTCCTAGCACTTGGGAGGCAGAGGCAGGCAGATCTCTGAGTTTGAAGCCAGCCTGATCTATAGAGCTAGTTCCAGGACAGCCTCCAAAGCTACAGAGAAACCCTGTCTCAGAAAAACAAAACAAAACAAAAAATTACATTGCTAGAAAATGACAAAGCAGGTATATAAACCCAGGTTTGTGGATGCCAAATGATTTATTCTCTTGGTAAAAGCAGTGGGGTTTTTGTTTTTTTTTAATGCTTTACTGTGTGTGATAGGAATTAGCTGGAGTGTTTGTTGTCTTTCTCAACTATCCAATTTAGTTTTGTTTTGGAGACAGGGTATCACGTTTCTCAACTTGGCTTTGAACTTGATGTGCAGCTGAGGACAACCATGACCTCTGGGTCCCCAAGTACTGTGATCACAGAAGCACACTATCTTGTGTTGCTAGGGCTCAATCCCAGGGCCTTGTGCATGTTACACAAGCAATCTTCCAACTGAGCTACATTATATATTTATTTACTTGAGACAGAATTTCATGTAGTTAGGCTGGCCTTGAACCCCAGATCTTCCTATGGATATAGGATACCACAGTGCATATTCATAAAGCTGCTTTAGTTTTTTCTTTTTGGTGGAGGTGGAATTGACCTAGCCTCGAACACTCTAGGCAAGCACTCTACCAGTAAACAACATTCTCCACTCATAAGACATCTTTAAGAGTGCGCAATCCACCGGTGGTGGTGGCACACACCTTTGATCCCAGCACTTGGGAGGCAGAGGCAGGTGGATCTCTTTGAGTTCGAAGCCAGCCTGGTCTACAGAGCGAGTGCTGGGACAGGCTCCAAAGCTACACAGACAACCCTGGAGCTGGAGGAGCTGGAGAGATGCATCAGCAGGTAAGAGCACTGACTGCTCTTCCAGAGGAAGCCAGTTTGTTTCTTAGTACCCACAGGGTAGCTCAGAACCACCTGTAACTCTAGTTCCAGAGGATCTGACCCCTTTTCCTGGCCTTCACAGGCACTCCATGCACATGGTGCACAAGTATATATGTAGGCCAAACATCCATCCATATAAAATTTTAAAAATACATTTTTTTTCACTCTTTTTTTCATCCCCCAGAAGTACATAATCCTATCCCAACACTGGCTTGGGAGGATTTCAATTCTGGGATGCTCTGAGCTACATAGCGAAACCTTGTCTTGAAAATATAAAAACAAAAACAAGGGTTCATTGAACATCAAATTGCAGCAGAGGCCAACCTGTTTTACATAGAGGGTTCCAGGTTAGACAGGGCTATATAATGAGGTCTGTCTCAAAAAACAAAAACAAGCTTGTAGAAACTGACCAGATAGCAGTCCTAAGTAGGGTCTGGAACGTTGTTATTATTAACAAGTTTCCCCAAGTGATTCTGATGTAGATGAACCATGGGCAATAGCTGAGACACATTGTTTGGACTCCATCTTACCTACTTCCCTAGATGTTACCTACTTCCCTAGAGACCTCTGTTATATCCAGCCCTCAATAAGATGGCTGTCACTGGATCTGAACTTCAAAGGAAATGCCTTCAAGCAAAGGTGTCCCACCCCCCCCCACCCCCCACCCCCGGAGACTGGGCAACTAACTGCTGAAGCTCTGGGGCATGCTTAGGTTGAGTAGGGAACCCTGAACCCAGCCAGCCCTCCTGTAGCTTGCCTCCAGGTCCCACCTGTTCCCGAGCAGCAGTGAACATGGGCTCCTGGATGTCAGTGTACATGCGGCGGAGGGCATTATAGCCTCCAGGGACACTTTCCAAGTTGCTGAGGGCCCGGTCCTGGTTCCGCATCATTTCTTGCATCATGGCTGGGTTCCGAGCAAGCTCCATTGTCTAGTGAAGGGAAAAATATGAGATGGGCCCTGGAACCAGAGGAATACCAAGCTAGGAAAAGGGACCTGAGGAGGGAGCCGACATGAGGAATCCAGGAACTACCCAACAGTGTCAGGAAGTAAGCAAACCAGATCCCCTTCCTCTTGTATAATCTGGACTTCATCCCTGCCTCTCTGTGGCTATCTCGGTTGGCTTTTCTGGGGCCCCAGGTTTTTTTTTTTTCCCCTGCCTACAACTGTGCCTGTTCCATAGTTGTGACTCAATAAATACTTATTGGATGATAAATTATAGGACAAGAGGTTGGAGTCCTGTGAAGCTAGATTTATCAGGAAGGTGTCTTAGAGAATTGAAGATTTGGGGGGAAGATGGCAGTCCAAAGAACAGAAATAAGTAGCTTGCTGGCTTCATCATGACACCTACACGACCTGACACTAACAGCAACTAAATAGCCTGTTGTAGAATATTATTTTAAGATGTGTTACATTTGTTTATGCTGTGGAACACTTGTTGATGCAAAGATGTGTTACATTCTTTTATGTTGCATTAGTTTAACTCTGTGCAGTCTTTTTACTGAGCCTGTCTAAACACCCGATTGAACTAATAAAGAGCAGAACAGCCAATAGCTTGGCAGGAAAGGATAGGCAGGGTTGGCAGGCAGAGAGAATAAATGGGAGGAGAAATCTGAGAGAATGGAGAAGCAAGAAGAACAAGAGGACACGCCAGGGGCCAGCCATGCAGCTACCCAGCCAGCTTTGGAGTAAAAGTGAAAGTAAGGTATACAAAGGTAAGAAAAGGAAAAATCCCATAGGCAAAAGGTAGATGGGAAAATTTACGTTAAGTTAGAAAAGCTAGCTAGAAATGAACCAAGCTAAGGCCAGGCATTCATAAGTAAGAACAAGCCTGTCTGTATTTATTTGGGAGCGGGGTGGCTGGCCTCCCAAAAGAGTAAAGAGTAAGCAGGCAACTATATAACCTAGCATTGAAGTCACACCATTTTCACAATAACCATCCCATGTAAGTACTCCTGTTCATCTTTTGTAGATTTGAAAATGTGGTCAGGGAGGATTGCAGACCCATTGTCCCCTAACACACATAATTTAGTCACGCAGACACTGTGAGTCCTGGTACATTAAACTGGGTAGGGAAAGGATTCATTGCCCCCTCTTTAGCCAAACGGAACCCTCTGCAACACTGAGGATGAGGGGTCTTTTCTTTAGAGCTGCTGTCAGTGTCACTTAAGCCAATAAGCTACTCATTCCTGTTCTTTGGCCTGCCTTCTCCCCAAATCCACTCCAGTCCTCTACGACACCTTCTTAGACCCACAAACCTAGCCCAACAGGACTGCAATCCCTTGTCCTATCATTTACCATACAAAAAGTATTTACTGAACTATTAGTATGGAACAGGTACTGTTCTAGGCCAGAAACAACAACAACAACAACAAACCCAAACATTCAAAAAATCCTTACACCATTAAAAAAAAAAAAAGCCATGGCCATGTAGTGGTACACACCTTTGATCCTAGCATTCAGGAGCAGAGGTAGGCAGATCTCTTGTGAGTTTGAGGCTAGCCTGGTCTATATAGTGAGACCCTGTCTCAAAAGAATCAACTAACTACTTGGAAAACAATTTAAAAGCCTTAGTTGTTAGGGGAGTTACCTGCCAGTGAATCAGACTCTGGTCTTCACAACCTTGATGGCAAGACACCTATCCTGTTTTCTGGTAAACAGCCTCCAGAAAATGGTTTGCAGCCTGGCATAGTGGCACACACCTTTTCCCAGCATTCAGGAGGCAGAAGGAGGGGGATCTTTATGAGTTTGAGGCCAGTCTGATCTATATAGAGAATTCCAGGACAACCAGAGCTACATAGAAAGACCATGTGTCAAAAATAAATAAATATTAAAAAAAACAAAAAACAAAAACCAAAAACCAAAAGCAGGCCAGTGGCGTTGCACGCTTGCACACCTATAATCCTGATACTTGGAAGGCAGAGGCAGGTGGATCTTTGTCAAGGCTAGCCTAGTCTACAGAGTGAGTTCCAGGAATGATCTCCACTGGGTGTCCTCCTCGGCTGGGTGGGTCTAGCTTTGGCCTTTGCTTTGGGCTTCCTTGGTCTTGAACATGATTTTTCTTTCCTTGGATCATCCAATGTCTTTGTTTTGGTCTCAGCTCAAACTTCTAGAAGACCTTCTATGAGACCCAGAGTAGAGTCAGAAGCCTTCCTAGGAGATTCTGGGATTATCTTTAGGGGATCACTAGTCTTACGGTGTTGCCTGCATAACTGTACCACTTTCCTGGCCTAAACTCTTCATTACTGTATCAAGTGTTCAAAATATAGCTGCTCAATTGAATGAACAAATAATAAGCTAGGAACGGCTGACACCACATTCCTCCCTCCTCCAGCCTTGTCTCATACCCACCTGCCTCATGAGCTCAGGGTTGTTGAGCATGTGGCTGATCTCGGGGTTCCTCTCCATCAACTGCTGCATCTGGGGGTTAGCCATGATCATGTGGCGCATCAAGTCAGGGTTTGACATCATATCCTGGACTAAGGGGTTCTCCATGATCTGTGACAGCATCTCAGGATTGGACATGAGCTGTCTCTGCATCTGTTGCTGTAGCTCCATGAAGTTGGCAGAACCCAGGCCCAGACTGCCTAGGCCAAGGATACCTCCAAAGCCAGCTGTGGGAAGGAGTAGAATAGAGTCTACATCTCAGGCCCATCTCACATCTATCAGAGCCTGTGAATTTGGGTCTCCAGGATAGGCCCTAATGACTTCTCACAGCTCCAGAAAGGAGATCTCTTTAAAGCAGAGACCAAGCTGAGCATATCATTGCACAGAGAGAAATGAGACAGCCACCTGCCTTTCTCTACTCCCTCCTGAAACCCTGGAAACCCTCATAAACTGGCCCCCCCACCCCTACCCCAGCTTGGCTTAAGCTCCACTATCTGGAAGAGTGTCTCCCCCCTCCATGGGACTGCTGTTCTTTATCTTTATGTACCCCACTCCCTGCCCAATAAATACAAGATTATGCCCTCTTCCCTAAAGGCTTACAGAGAATCGATGCAGTAGCACTTGGGGGCCCCTCTGCAGCCACCGGAGTGGGTCCCCCTCCACTGCCAGCATCTGAAGTGGCACCAGAGCCGCAGGGCTGGGTAGGGGCAGCAGGTGAGGCAGGTGTGGTGGAGGGTGCAGAGGCAGAGTCAGGAGTGGATGGGGGAGAACCAGTAGCAGTCACTGGATCTTGAGCCCTGAGGATAACGTATGGATAATCCTGGTTAGAGAGGGTACAAGTGGAAAGCTGGCTGTGTAGCTGCTGCCATTGCAAGCCACCTCTTGAGTAGCCTTGCCCCAAGCTGGCAGGATACAGGGGACATCCAGGAGAGGGAGATGATGTCAGTATCACTAGTCTTTAAGACAATCTGGGAGTGGTCAGGCAGGTTCCCCTAGAAGTAAGATCTATCCACCTGAGGCTAGCCCGACCAACAGCTGTCTGCGTGGTTGAACAGCTGAGAAAGACTCTGAAACGAAGTCCCAATTAGGAGCAAGGTCAGCTTTCCTGAACTTACTTCTGAGGGGTCTTGATGACTAGATGGACGGTGAGCCCATCCTTGATCCCATGCTGGTTCAGTGTGTCTCCATCCTTGAGGATCTTGCCTGCGAAGATCAGGACCAGCTGATCCTGCTGAGCCTTAAACCTCCGGGAGATTTCCTCCTTGAACTGTGGTCAAGAGGCAGAGATCACTGTGGAGGCTGCCTGTACTCCATTGCCAGGCCTCTACTCTCAACTCTGCCCCTCTAGCTGCAATAAGCAACAGTGACATAGATCTGCTTTTTCGATGAATTCCATGATACAGTCTCCCAACCCTAGAAAGCTCCAGCTGCCATCTCCCACCCAGTTCTCTGTGAGGGTTACCACCTGGGCAGCCCTCCGCATCCTAACTCCTTCAACTAGCCTTGGTCTCAGGCTGTCTCTCTTCATCTTTCTCTTGACTCGAAGTTTCTCTCTGCACTTTATTATTCCCAGCTTCCTCATAACAGTAACAAGTAGGTCCAGCTGTTGAGTAATCTAGTATGTCAGTTACTATCCTGAATATCTCATTTATTTATTTAGAGACAGAGTCTCTCCATGTAGCTCTTACTGTCCTGGAACTCTCTATGTAGACCAGGCTGACCTCAAACTCACCCAGCAGAGGTCTGCCTGCCTCTGCTGGGATTTTAAGGATAAGGATCACGGTGGGGGTAGGAATTCAGGTCTGTACATCAGTATCTCCATCAGATACACTCTCAATATGAGCCGTATTTCTGGAAGGTCTATAAATTCTTTTTCCCCCTCCCCTTAATTTTCTCGTGACCGGGTTTCTCTGTGTAGCTCTATATACCAGGCTGGCTTCGAACTCACAGAGATCCTCCAGTCTCTGCCTCCCTGAGTAACTGTGTTTAAAGGCACGCACCACCACCGCCCGGCCAGGACTGTAAAATCCTTGCATGGGAGAGGAGTCGTGGTATCAAAGGCTAGTCTGGGGTGAGTTAGATTCTCTAGATTCTATCAGCTCCTCCAAAACACAACACAACACATACTCTAATTATAAACAGTGCACTTGCTAAGCAAAGATCCCTCTCTTCCAACCAGATGGCCTATCCTAAGCCCCGCCTATGTGCAATTCTGGAGCAGCTTCAAGCAGTGAGGAACACAGGCATAGTCCCTCGCTCATTCAACATTATTTTGTTGAGCACCTACTGGGCTCAATAAATCCTATAGGGCAGAAAACTGAACAGCATAACCGTTTCGATTTGCGGGCAGGAAGGATCCGTAGGGAGAGAGAGTACCCCCACCACGCGACTCTCCCGGGGGAGCTTAGCCGCAAGCTCACTCGGGCCACACTGTGCCTCGGCGCCCGGAACCTCCGCCAGTAACCGTGGCGCACTCTACACTCAAGCCTAGGACCCTCCGGGTGCCCGCAAGCAAGGTGTCCCTTTCTCAAGCTCCCCCACCACGCCCCCAGCCCTGGTAGCGTGGCCAAACCCATCCCAACCCGCACCACGCTCGCCGGACTAACCCAGGCAGGGCGCCCCCTACCCGCCTCGATTGCCCTCGCGCTGCTCGGATCCCCGTGGGCTCCGCCCCGGCCGGGGGCCCGTCCCCACTGCCAGGCCGTCCCCGAGGTCTCCATATCAGCGCTGACCCCACGGTGCACTGCTCCCGCCCTCCTCCCTCCAGCGCCAGCGGTACTACCTCCTTGACCGAGGCTCGATCGCAGATCACGATCTCCTCCTTGTCCTTGGGGGTCTTGACGGTGACCCGAATCTGGGGCCTCGTCTCGGCCCCGCTCGGCTCCGCCATGCCGCCGCCCGGCCGCCCGCCAGCCCGCCCGGCTCCTCCTCCCGGCCCGCCCGGCCCGGCTCGACTCCGGAGCCTCCAACTCCCCCTCCCGCCCCTCCCCAAGGCTCCGCCGCCCCCTCCGGACACCTCAGCCACAGCGCCCCGGGCGGCCTGGGGGGGCACTGCAGCTGGGGCGGCCCAGGGCAGAGCGGGGTCCGCAGCTGGTCGGGGAAGCTTCTCGGGAGCCCAGAGGGCGGCGTAGCGGGCGCCGAGGCTCAGCGCTGCCCGCGGCTCTCTCCCATTCGGGACAAAGGACTTTCTATGTCGCCGCCTCATCTCCGATCCCTGGGGTAACTGGGTTTTCTTAGGAGGCGGGGTCTCTGCCAGGCCTGGGGTCGTTCCTGGATCTGGACGTCCTTAACACCTCTGCAGGAATAGCTATGGCCGCCCGGGAGCCGTCCCGAGGGGGCCAGTTTCAGAGACCTGGAGTTTGCCTACGTGGCTTCTCTTCTTGGATGTCAAGACTGCAGTACCTCACAGAATTGTAACCATCGTGAAACACTGATTTGAAAGGTGGGCAAGGATGTGCCTAACAAATACAGGTCTTTATTATTATTGAATCGTGGGTTGACTGGTAGGCACGAAGGCGCCCTTTTCGTGGAAGGGGTTAAAAGTCCTTCCTACGTTGCCACTGTCCTTGCGCTCCCGCTCCCCCCGCTTCGCCCCTGCAGCCTCATGGTATGACTAGGAAGATAAACTATAGTTCCCAGGAGTCCTTGAGAGGCCACAAAAAACTACGATTCCCAGCTCCCCCGCGCGCGGCGGGGATTGGACCAGAGAGCCTCAGTGGATAAACCCGGAGACTACAACTCCCAGGGTGCCTCGTAGGTAGGCTTCTGGGCTACCGGAAGCGGCTGGCGGAGAGCAGCAGGCGGTGACGGGTTGTCTGGGTGCCGGTCAGGGTTAGGAGACGCAGGCATGCTGCGTCCCAAGGCTTTGACGCAGGTGCTAAGCCAAGCCAACACCGGAGGAGTCCAGAGCACCCTGTGAGTGCACAACAAGGACCCGAGCAGCGAGCGCTGGAGCAGGGCGGCGCGCGGCTGCCTGCAATAGTGGTAGGGGTAGCCCTACACTGGGAGGAGGCTAGTGGTGTGAGCGGTCGTTTCGGGAACCCTACGTGAGGTCCCCTCTCGGAAAGGGAGTCGACGAGTGCTTAGGGCATGTTTCTGGATATAGTCAGCGCAGATCTTTGCTTCCTAAAAGCGCCAGTAGCGGGAATTGGAATAGGAACTCAGGCGTTTCACTCTTCCTGAGTTTGTCGATATCCTCCTCCATCCTCGCCAGGCTGCTGAATAACGAGGGATCGTTGCTGGCCTACTCCGGTTATGGGGACACAGATGCCCGGGTCACCGCGGCCATCGCCAGTAACATCTGGGCCGCGTACGACCGGAACGGGAACCAAGCGTTTAATGAAGACAATCTCAAATTTATCCTCATGGACTGCATGGTATGGATTAAAGTAGGCTGACTCGAACTTGCAGTGATCATCCTGCCTCTGTCTCCTGAATACTAATGTCGCAGGTGTGCACCACCGCACCTTGCCAAATAAGTAAAACATAGATATTAAAAAAGGAAGGGAAAAAAAAAGCGAGAGTAGAGACATATGAAAAAATCATTTCCTAAAAGATTGAAGGAAGATTGGAGAGGTGAAGAGAATCAGACCAGGAAAATATTTTTAACAGTATGGGACATGGTAGTTTATGCCTCTAGTCCCAGCACTTGAGAGACTGAGGCAGGCAGGTGGATCTCTGCAAGTATTTCTGACAGAACAGCAATTGCAAAGGGCTTAGGGTAAAGTGATGCTTGGACAAAGGTCAGTAAGTGAGTACCACAGAATGGGGAAAAGTGGTAGGCGATAAAGCTAAAGAGTCGTGCCTGGTTCTTAGCACCCTGGACAGTGATGGTGTGCTGAACCAAATCTGTTCACCTAAGGGCAAACTCCCTGCTGAAAGCTCTTCCTTGTAATTCAGGCAGCCCTTTATACCCCTCCTAACCATTGCTGACTCCTACTGGGTGCTGAACCTAGGGCTGAAGCTCCAACGACATCCACAGCAGCATAGCCATAAGTGTGCTTTAAGAGACAGAGGATGGAGCTCAGTGGTGAAGTTCTTTGGGCTTCTAGAACCATTCCCAAGAATACAATTTTTGTTTTTGAGTCAGAGCCTAATACACACACTAATGCAAGTTTCATTAAACATCACTTCTCTTGCTACAATGTGAAGTCTGTCTTTTTTTTTTTTTTTTTTTAATGTTGATCAACCTTAGCTGATCTTCATTTTTAAAAGCTATAATGTGGGCAAAGAGGAGACATGTTAGTTGGGTTGTGGGTTTCTGTTTTTTTGTTTTGTTTTGGGTTTTTTTTTTTTTTTTTTTTGAGGCAGGGTTTCTCAGTGTTGGAGCCTGAAATTCACTCTGTAGACCAGGCTGGCCTTTAACTCACAGAGATCCACCTGCTTCTGTCTCCCAAGTGCTGGGATCAAAGGCGTGCTACACCACTGCCTGGCTTTTGTTAAGATTCTTATATGTATTTATTTTATTCTGTATGTATGTGAGGGTTTTTTTGTTTTGTTTTGTTTTTTAATATTTATTACGTATATGGTGTTCTATCTGCATATTCCCCTGCAGGGCAGAAGAGGGCACCAGATCTCATTACAGATGGTTGTGAGAGACCATGTGGTTGCTGGGAGTTGAACTCAGGACCTTTGGAAGAGCAGGCAGTGCTCTTAACCACTGAGCCATCTCTCCAGCCCTGTATGAGAGTTTTGCCCAGGTGTTACATATGTGTACCATATGCATGCATGGTGCCCCCAAGGAGACTAAAAGAAGGCATTGGATCCCCTAAACTGGATAGTTGTGAGCACAATATGGGTGTTGGGAATTGAACCCAAGTCTTCTGCAATAGGAACAAACTGGGTTATTGTTCCTGGTACCTCACTTGTTGAGACAATTCTTGGCATTAGAGAAGAAGCCCCCAGTTTCTGGGAGACTTGGTTTCCCAGAATACCTTATTAGAAATTGCCTGTGCTGAGGCAGTGTCAGACCCCCATGTCTTAAGGGTTGGGCAAAGCTTCCTAGATGAACTTTCTGCTCAGCCAGGTTTGGAAGACAGTATCTCTAGGATCAGAGGAGGGGAAGGTAGGAACTAAGGATGCCAAGCAGAATGCCTCATTGTATCATCCCCACTAGGAGGGCCGTGTAGCCATTACTCGGGTGGCCAACCTTCTGCTATGTATGTATGCCAAGGAGACTGTAGGCTTCGGAATGCTGAAGGCCAAAGTGAGTACATTCCTATGTTACAACCTTCCTGGGCCCAGCCATAGTCCCTCTTTCATGTGTCCACTCTCTACATGTGCCCTTTACTGAAATTCTCATATCTAGTCCCTGTCTGAGATGGGCTAAAGAGCAGGCGGGTGGGCTGGGGTGCTGGTTGATGCTCAGTGTGGGGCAGGGAGTCAATTTGGGATCCATGCATGGACTGACATGTGCTCTCTCTCCCCTCCTTGCAGGCCCAGGCCTTGGTGCAGTACCTGGAGGAGCCCCTCACCCAAGTAGCAGCATCATAATAGAGTAATAGAAGCTGTAGTCAGGGAAGGGATGGTGGATGGGAGGATCAGGGCCCTGGAAACACCTCACTGGACTGGTTACAGGAAGGTGTGACTTTAGCTTCGGCTTTTTTTCCTAATAAATTTTAACTCTTGCCTTGTGTCTCAGCTGCTTTCTTGGACGGAAGAAGTCAGGTCATGGGAAGGAGTGGGGAGATTACCTCAGAGGATTCCTTATCCTCTGCAAAGGTGGGCTCCCTCATCTCCATCACCAAATCTCCCAGGAGATGTTGGCAGGGTTGCCCAGTGTAGTTGACTTCTCCAGTGCTGGGCCTCATCTAACTCTAACCACTCAATTGATGTTTCTCCTCCTTCCATCCCAGACAGGGTTTCCTTGGTTACCTTAGCTGTAGACCAGGCTAGCCTTGAACTCACAGAGATCTGCCTACCTCTTCCCCCTGAGTGCTAGGATTAACTTTGTGAGCCATCACATCAGCTTTACATTTTTAAATTAATAAGTATGGTTATGAGTGTTTGGCCTAGTTTTATATCTGCACTACATGCATGCCTGTAAAAGTCAGAGAAGAACATCAGCTCTCTCTAGAACCAGAGTTACAGATAGTTGTGAGCCACCATATGGGTGCTGAGAACCAAACCTGGGTCTTCTGCAAGAGTAGCCAGTGCTCTTAACTGCCAAGCCTTTTCTCCAGCCCTCAGAGCAGAATCTCACCTGCCTGTTTGGCAGCACCTTGGAACTGAGCTAGAGGAGCAAAGGGTGCTCTCAACTCCCTTTCCCAAGTTTTCATGAGCCAGACCCTCTCTGCAGCATTTGTTTTGTTTTTAATTACAAAAAGAAAGTGTGGGGGGGTGGGAGTGGGAGGGAGAATTGCCCTTAGAATGTAAAAAGAAATAAAAAAAATAAAAGATGGGAAAAGAAAAGAAAGAAATGGTGAGCTCATTGGTGAGCTCATCCCACTAATTCCAGCATTTAGGAGGCAGAGGTAGGCAGATCTCTGTGACCAGCCTGGTCTACATAGTGAGTTCTAGGACAGCCAGAGCTACACAGAGAGACCCTATCTCAGAAAACGAAACAACAATAACAAAAAAAAAGAAAGAAAGAAAGGAAAATATACAGAAATAGAGAAAGTTAAAAGCCCAGAGGCAAAATTTAGAGAACCTGGCAAGAAACAAGACAAGCTAAGGCTGGGCATTTATAAGTTAGAAAAAGTATCTGTGTTTGATTTATTTGGGAGTCGGGAAGCAGGCTCCCCCGAAACAGAGTAAAAGAACCCAAAGTACTAAAACAGCCAGCTACACAGCCTGATCTACAAAGCAAGTTTCAGTCAGAACTGTTACACAGAGAAACCCTGACTCAAAAACAAAACAAAACAAAAAAAATCCAAAAGGTAGTTGGTGGCGATGCATTCCTTTAATCTTAGCACCCACGAGGCAAAAGAAGGAGGATCTGTGAGTTTGAGGCCAGCCTA